GACTGTTCCTGCCTTAGGAGATTGCGATCAACTATCAGCTGTTTCCAATCAAAATGATCCAATCAGTGCAGTTGAGCACCACACCCATTATATCGCTAAGGCTGGGGCACAGATGATGACAGCAGGCTGGCTAAAGCACATCCCCATCCCATCTATCTTAGGGTTGAGGAGAAAGATGAAAACTCCACCTGCTGAATAGCCAGAGAGGGAGGCAGGCTTCTTGGTGTGCATTAGGAGAACTTTTCATCCACAAGTTCTCTCACACACATTGGCAGAGGAGTTAAAAATCTGGAAGAGACTAAAAACATAATGATTAACTCATGATTTTGAGGGTCATGATTTTTCAGCATCTGACTCATGATTATTATTTTCCAAATGGGAGCAACTTTTTATTTTTTATCGTTTGAGGTTGACAACTCTGGAGTTGCCTCTCCTGTTTTTTGTTCAGCTTTGCTGTGGATTTGGCTAGACTCCTATTTGCTATTACTAACAACGGGTATGTCTACACTACAGCACTAATTCGAACTAACTTAATTCAAATTAGTTAATTCGACCTAAGCTAATTCGAACTAGTTCATCTAGACCTAAAAACAAGTTCGAATTCACATTTTGCTAATTCGAACTAGCATGTCCACATTGAGTGGACCCTGAACCAAAGTTAAGGCTGGTCGGAACCAGTGCCGGCAGGGTATCAGGTTAGGACTTAGAGCATGGAGCTGCTGTCTCAGGCTAGCGGAGGGCTGTGTTTAAAGGGATCCAACCCCCACCCCGGACAGACAGTACTCAGGGTTCACCGCTTGCTTGTCTACCTCGATGAGGGACAGCAAAGCAGTCCTGGCTTGGAGTGCCCTGAGTGCCCACACTCGGCACATCACAGCACTCGGCCATCAGCCTGGCTGCACTTGCTGCAGGCTGCCATCCGGGGGGATCAATTGGGGGGCTGTCAGGATCCAGGAGGCCCTGCAGGAGGGCTTCCACCCCGAGGAGCCCGCAGAGCCACCCCAGTACTCCCCATTGGGGGCTCGTGCCCCATTCCTCCCTCACCTCCTTCCACTTACCCCTCTCTAACCCCCCTTCCTGATGTAAAAAATAAAGGACACGTGTGTTCAAAAATAGAAACTCTCTTTATTTAACAAAACCGAGGGGAGGGGGGTTGATTAACCTCTAGGGAGATTGGGAAAAGGAGGTGGGAAAGGGGAAGAGAGAGGGTGGGAGAGGGG